GGGCAATTGATGCTGGCCTAAGAGTCATAGCCAGTAGGAATGGTAGCTTCTTGACAAATCAGAGTACAAGGATGTGTTCCAGAAACACAAAAAAGTTTAAGAAAATGATATTGCTCTTGAAGGAACTAAACGGACTCTTGCCTTTTGTATTTTAATGTAAAGGAAAATATTAAAATGAATGAATGATATCACTGCTGAAAGTAAAACATTTTCCTGAATACAGATGACATAATGTTATTGTCATGAACTGGAGGTGTGTCTTATTAGACATTTAGATCTGCTATGTGAGATCTGCTGGTTATAGAGCATCTTAGAATCACAAGGCCCCAAGTTGAATCCTGGCAGTGCCATCTACTCACTTTTATGAGAAATAAAATGGACCTAATAACTACCTTATATAACTGTTATAAGATTACAACAAAATAATGTAAAATAATGCTTTGCGTGGTGTTTGGGTCAATACATGTGAATATAACACTGTTAAAATTGAGTTTTTGATTGAGGTTATGAAGACACAATAGAAGTAAAACTTCTAAGTCAGATCTCCATACTCACAGTTGACAAGGGAATCAGTCAAAGATAGGTATGGCTGCTCTTGGATCTCTCAGCTTGTTAATAATTTAGAAAGGATACGTGGAGTGGAATGGAGGAAGAATTTGCTGATGGCATTTTGCTTTTGAAGAAAGCTGTTGGCACACTATGGGACCCCCTTTATTCCTGGGCTAATGAATGGGACCCCAAACCTAATGAAAGGGCGCTTCAGGAAGACCACTCTGAGGGCTAACTCTCCATCCTCTGCAGTTGGAAGGATAGAACACAGGAGCCTGACTTAGGTTGAGAAGGCTAAAGCATCCTGTGGAAGTAGGATAGAGGTGACTTAGGGCACTAGCCTCTGTCTCCTCCTGGTAATTGTCAGGGCAAGGGATGTGTAAATATTATCTTAGGACCATAAGTGGGTCTCCTAATGAGCAAAAGTGCCACAGCACTGTAGATGGACGGTCTGGAGGAGTTCTGGGTTTTGCCCAAGAAAGCTTCTGCTGGAGGATAAGAGGAGACCTGTAAGGGAGAATGTAGTGGGAGAACTGCCCAGGAAACAGAAGCTGAGAGGCGACTGGGTGCAGGCATCCTAGAAATGTCTATGTCTTAGCAACTGTAGTGAGGGTTCCTTTAGAGATGGGGAAGCCCCAAAGGGCCTGCATGAGTGTCCCAGAGAGGAGTCAGCTTGAGTTTCTGCCAGCAGGCTCAGAGTGGGAAGTCGACTGAGTGTGGCCTTCTCATCTTGACTCCCTCTTCTCTTTGCTCTTAGCCTGAATGCTCAGAACCCAGCTGGGAAGGAAAAGTGGGGAAGCAGCTATAGTAGAGAAACAGAGAGGAATACCATGTTTCCACTGCTGCCTTTTGGCCTGAAACGGGCCTGAGCTGGGGAAGGAGAGAAGATTTGACATCTGATCACGTAGCAGTAGAGTATTTTGGTTATCATCTGGGACTGGGCATCTAGGCTTGAATTGAGACTGTGTTTGTGATTTTTTTTTTTTTTTTTTTTTTTTTTTTTTTTTTTGAGACGTAGTCTCGCTCTGCCGCCCAGGCTGGAGTGCAGTGGCCGGATCTCGGCTCACTGCAAGCTCCGCCTCCCGGGTTCACGCCATTCTCCTGCCTCAGCCTCCCGAGTAGCTGGGACTACAGGCGCCCGCCACCTCGCCCGGCTAGTTTTTTGTATTTTTTTTTAGTAGAGAGTGTTTGTGATTTTAAGTGGAAATAAGACTGTCTAATACCTAAAAGTGGGCAGAAAAACTTTGCTGGAGCTTTCATCTAGGGACAGGGGAGTGTTATTCTCACAGACTACAAATTAAAGACCACTGGGAAGAACATGAAAAGTGTATGCTTTAATTATTCGTTGCACTTGTCTGCTGTATTGGTTGCATTACTGTGGTTGATGTTGTGTTAGGAAGGCCAGGCGCGGTGGCTCACGCCTGTAATCCCAGCACTTTGGGGGGCCGAGGCGGGCGGATCACGAAGTCAGGAAATCGAGACCATCCTGGCTAACACGGTGAAACCCCGTCTCTACTAAAAATACAAAAAATTAGCCAGGTGTGTGGCGGGCGTCTGTAGTCCCAGCTACTCAGGAGGCTGAGGCAGGAGAATGGCGTGAATGCGGGAGGCGGAGCTTGCAGTGAGCCCAGATGGTGCCACTGCACTCCAGCCTGGGCAGCAGAGCGAGACTCTGTCTCAAAAAAAAAAAAAAAGAAAAAGAAAAAAAGAAAGGTTACCTTCATATTCAGTGTTGTACACCTAAAGTCTTGATTTTTGTTTGATATTTCTCTGCATGTTTCTGGCTTATAGCAAATACTCCTATACTGCAAGTCAACTCAGTTATTTAGGAGGGCATTTTGTAGCCAGGTTTCTCACAGTCCTTACTAGAAAACTTATTTGCTTAAAGTTAATATTCTATGTGTATATTACTGAATATTTTTATATCCAAGGTGAAAATTAGGTAACATTTACTTTGATAACCTTCTATAATTAAATAATGCAGCATGAACCATAATATAGCAGTTTGGAGACTTGATGTCCCATTTGCTCATAAACAGAAGCAAAACACCGATATTTTAAAAGTATTATTTTAAATTGAAGTGTGATACACGTAATAAAAATGCACAATTGATAAAAGTTTAGTTTGGTGAGTACAAAGTGAATACACCCAGGTAACCAGCACCAAATTAAGAAACAGAATAAGATTAACATCCCAGTCACTGACCCCTCATATCAATAGTTTTGCTTATTTTTATTTATTTATTTATTTATTTTAGAGACAGTCTTGTTCTGTTGACCAGGCTGAACTGGAGTATAGTGGCGCAATCATTCCTAACTCACTGCAGCCTTGACCTTCTGGGCTGAAATGATCCTCCTGCCTCAGCCTCCCAAGTAGCTGTGACTACAGGCGTGTGCCACCAATAGTGGTTAATTTAAAAACAATTATTTTTGTTATTATTTTTTGTTGAGACAGGGTCTGCCACCATTGCCTAGAGTGACCTTGCACTCCTGGCCTCAAGCAATTCTTCCATCTCAACCTCCCAAAATACTGTAACTAAAGGTGTCAGACACCACTGAGCCCAGCTCAGCCTTGCTTTTTTTAAATGAGATTATATATTTGAGTTTGCGAGATTCATTCATATTGTTGTGTGTAGCTGCAGTTGTTGTTTATTTACAAGTCTGCATTCAACCAGATGACAATATTTTAGCTAATTCAATTGTTTATTAGTTGATAGACATTTGGATAGTTCTATTTATTGGTTGATGGACATTTGGATTGTTTCCAGGTTTAGACCCTTACAAATCAGGCAACTAAAAACATTGTTAAACACATGTTTTGGTGAATATATTGTGCACTCTTATTGATTTTATGCTTAGGAGTGGAATTACTGTATTACATGTATGACTATGTTCAACTCTAGTAGATAAGGAAAAACAGTTTTCCAGAGTGGTGGTAAAAATTACTCTTCCATCAACTGTGTGTGGGAAGTCACTCCACTTCCTTGTTAATACTGTCTTTTTTCATTTTAGCTTTTCTGGTATGTGCCAGTTCCTTTTTTTGAAAAAAAAAAAAAATTTGTCCTAGCTATTGGCATGCCCTCAGTAAATCTCCATATGGGAAGTGGGATGTCTTCTTTCCTTTCATAAGACCATCGCACCAGCCTGACTACTCATTGAAGCATGAAGTTCTATATTTAGCAAGGAATGCAGAATAACATTCTGGTGGTAAATGCTGCCCAATATTTATCAATAACTTTGCTAAGTGAAAGCATAGGTATAAAGTGTGTTAGTCAATATTTTGAATGTAAGTGCAGAAATCCCTATTCAAAATAGTTTCACCAAAAAGGTAGTTAATTGACTCTTGTAGCTGAAAAGTCAGGCTTGACTGGCTCCTGGGATTAAGCTTCACTTTCCAAATCAAGACTGCCTCCCACTAGGCTGCTTCTCTTCTAAGGCAAGCTTGCTTCCTGCCTAGAGGCCAGGATTCTGCCAATAGCTCCAAACTCCCATCAGTAAACCAAAACCAAAATAGCAGCCACAGCAACAAAACTCTTCCTGTCTTTCTGGAACTATCAAGTCCGGAATTGGGGTTCCTTGGCTCTTATTGCACTAATTATGTCTTTTTTGGCTCCAGGTGGCTATCAGGTCCCTTTGGACCGCATGCTTTTAGAGAAGCAACAATTCTCTGAGGAAAATTGGGGGTGCTGTTAACAGAAGAAGGGTCAATGGTAGGTGGGCAGCAAGAGTAACAAAATAACCACTGCACGTCAGACTAGATAAATATAACACAGTCTAGTTATTCCTGTAGATCCTACGGGACTCACCCTTGGATTAAGCAATACTGCTGGAACATTGCATATGTGGATTGCATCATTTTAAGCTCTGTGGAATTGCTTTTATTGAACTGTGTTAGGACATTCTGTTACCAGACTGCATTGAGGTACAATATAATGAACAGTCCTGAGGAATTCCATGCATTATTGTAAGACAGTATTGAGCACACTGTTTATTTCCATTGCCACATTATAGGATTTCATGGGAGAAATTTCTCCCTGGTCTCTACACCAGGAAGAGTCAAACTGTTCCTAAAAACCTTTCATGATTTTATCTTATGGATACTGTGATTCCTCAAAATGGTAGGGTTTCCTTCTTTGCATTGCTAGAGTGATAGAGTCAATTTTATGGCTTGTTTTAATCAAGTATGCTAGGCTTTGAAGCATGGATTCTTTTAGTGCTAGCCTCACCCCTTTGTTTTTATATTTCCTTCAGTATTATTTCCCAGTTCTCACACTCTCTCTTTTGTTCTATATTCTTTGGAAACTTTCTCAAATCTTTTCTGAGACGAAGTTGAGAAATACGTATAATTTTATGTATATTTCATTTTATGCATTGAAAATGTCACCACAAAGTAAATAAATCTGCTGGGCTTTAGGAAGAAGTTTATTAACAGGAATTATTTTGGGTTCCAGTTTTAGATGGAGGAGTTGTAAAACACTACAGAATTAGAAGACTGGATGAAGGGGGCTTTTTTCTCACCCGGAGAATAACCTTTTCAACACTGAACGAATTTGTGAGCCACTACACCAAGACGAGTGACGGCCTGTGTGTCAAGCTGGGGAAACCATGCTTAAAGGTGAAAATGCTTTCAAGCTGTGTTTGCTTATTGAAGTTAACTTTTTTCCTTCAGCTATCTGAGTACTTTTCATGGAATATCAGTTCAGGAAAAAAATTGTCATTTTATTACCTGAGGCAGGTATAGGCAAACCATGGCCCATGAGCTCACACTGACGTATGCTTGTTTTTGTAAATAAGTTTTATTTGCTCAGATGCTCATTCATATATGAGTTTTCTTTGGATTCTTTTGTGCCATAACAGCAGAGTTTAGAAGCTGCCACAGAGACCATAGGGCAGGTGGTAAACTAGAATATGAGTTCTTGGAGGGCAGGGGTCTTGCTTGTTTTGTTTATAGAAAAGCACCTAGTCAATGCTTAAAACAATTTTACTTACTAAATGAATGAGTCAATAAATGAATGAACAAATAAAGAAATGAAAAAATGAGTTTGAAAAAATAAAACATTTAATTATGCAAAATAGATGATACATATCATAAAACTATAGCCAAAGAGTTTGGGAAGGATTTGTGGGTGAGATAGAACTTCAACTGGGCCTTGAAACTGAGAGGATTTAGGTAGGGGAAGAGGTACAGAGAAGTCATTCCAGACCTGAGTGAGGATGGCATTAGGTATGGGATCAGACAGGTTGACAAGAAGGTGCCTGACTTCCCAAGATTTGGAAGATCAATTTGAAGAGTTAACAGTGCAGATTCTCCCACCATACTTTTTGTTTTTGAAGCAATAATAATACAGTTTACAATATTTTGTTTCAAAAAATGTTTTATTTAAAAGTGCCTAGACTATTATTTTCAACAAAATAATATTAAATATACCCCCCCTTTTTTTTTTTAACAATTGCTCTTATTATTCTATGAAACAGATCCAGGTCCCAGCTCCATTTGATTTGTCATATAAAACCGTGGACCAGTGGGAGATAGACCGCAACTCCATACAGCTTCTGAAGCGATTGGGATCTGGTCAGTTCGGCGAAGTATGGGAAGGTCTGTGGAACAATACCACACCAGTAGCAGTGAAAACATTAAAACCAGGTGCGAGAACAATAAAGGTTAAATGCATATGTTGATTTTTATGAGCTCAATTTAGCACCGTAAATATCTAAGAGTTCATGGGGTGGCTAATACTGGCAGCAAGCAGGTGTTGTGGTCATTCTCTCTAGCCCAGGTGACCCAAACCTATGGATAAGGCATTAAAATATAAAAACAAGAGCACACTTCCTGGTTCAACTGAGTCTTACAATATCACTGATTGAAGAGTCTGACAACTCATCTCTTCTCTGGAGTTAGGATTCAGTCTTCCAATGTCCTTCTTCCCATTTTGTTCTTAGCCTTAGTTAACAGATACTGACTTAACTGAAAATATTTTAAAAATCAGAAGGAATCTTGATACTATTCAGGAAACAACTATTTCTAAAAGTATTACTTTTCTGTGGTTCAAAGGCAAAATGGTCCATCCAAATAAACTTGTGTTTGAAAATGTAGGAATTTTTTTTTCCCTTCCATCTTCCTTTTTCCTGTGATGGCAAGTAAAATTATACTGAAATCAGTATTTATTCAGCCAGGCTTTATTCCCTCTATTTAAAAGAGAGACTAAGTAACTTCCCACATACTTTCTAGTTATGTGATCTTGAGCAAAGTTTTGAACTCTATGCTTCAGTTTTGTCATTTGTGAAACAGAAGTAATAATAAGGCCAGCCAAGAAGATAAATTAGGTCATTAGTGGAAACGCTTTGTATAGTACCTGGTTTACAGTAAGTGATGGATAAAAACTATTATTATAATAATGAAAAAGTCAATAAATGGCATAGCTGGGATTTGAACCCACATCTATTACTATTGCATCACACCCCATGGAAGTGACAGTCTATAAAAGTGCAACATTGCTGTAGTAACCTCATGTGTACCTTTATAACAGAGGTAAGAATAATCAACATAGGCTAGATTGTAGTTTTCTGGGAGACCTGCATTATTTACCTAGCCCAGAATTCTTAGAGGTTTGGTAATTCTTAGAGGTCTGGTGGCAGAACCTGAGCACTTGGGATTTGATTGCTGGCAGGATAGGGTAACACTATGGTTCCCAAACTGTGTGCCAAGGCTCTTGGGGGCACCACGGTGAATTCACAGGAGTGCTGTGGAATACTTAAACGTTTTGAAGTTAACATCCTGAATATTGTACAAGCTGCTACCTTTAAGTAGTTCATGGTTTCAACTTTAAAACAACATTCGTTTTGTTGACATCCTATCTTTGTAAAGCTGGGTTTTTTGATGGTTGCTATGGTCAAATGCAAAATCCACACAAAAATCAATACAGACCAGAAAATGGGGGTAGCAGTGCTCCGTCCGATTCTAAGATTGGAGAAGTTGTGCAGTGTCCCAGGAATGCATATATCACTTTAGTAAGTACTTGTAGTTAAGAATTAAATGAAAAATGGTCTTTTCCTTTCAATTTACCTGTGTTACTTTTTCAAATGGCTATTACATTGTTAGGATAAATACTTCTTAACTTGTTTGGATCTAACCCAGTAATCAAAAGAACTGTTAGTTTTTTTTGTTTTGTTTTTTGTTTTTTGTTTTTTGTTTTCACGTAGAGACATCATGAAAAAAGTTATGGAGACACTAAGGGTTCCATGAACTGAAAATGTTGGGATCCTCTGGTGTAACAAGTTAACAGTGTCAAATTTAATATAACATAAATCTGCGTTTACACTTGGCTCTGCCCTCTGTGACTTTGGACAATTTTTTAACCTTTTGGAATCTTCTGGTCTGGAAGTGGGAAGCATAATAGTTCCTACTTTCTAAGATTTTATGAGGACAAATGGAGCCAATGTACGTAAAGTATATGCAGCAAGTTCTTAATAAATGTTAGCCTCCATGGGGCTGCTGACAGATGTGTCCACTGAAGTGCAAACTTACTAGTGCAGGAATTCAGTTTCAGCATTTTCATCTGTCAGATGAAACAAGAGACAGGCACTTTTAAGTGGCCAGGTGCTATATGAGTGCTCCAGGTGAGGACATTCTATTCTAGCACCTGAGATTTTCACAATCACTGTGTGTATATGCTTTTAAACCCTAATCTTGTTAATAAATGGTGGCTAAACTTTATTGTCCAACCTAATAATTCTTTTCTAAGAAGAGGCAGCTAGCTAGCCTTCCTAATACTGTTCTCTAAGGAAGCCCTTTGGGAAGTCAAAAGACAACAAAAAAAGTCAGATTTCTCATATTTAAAAAAAAAAAAACACGATAGCTTTCTCTCCAACAGGAATAATTATTATTGATTTACAGTGTAATAGCCACAAACAGCTTTGGTGATTGGTTAAATGTCTTCACTTCACTGGGGCCATTAATCAATCTTAGCAGCTATTTATTGCTTAGCAGGCTACTACACAATAAAGATGAGCCTGAAATGAACTCCTACAGTAGCTTTGACAGGAAAAAATTAATATTTAATGTTACATTACTAGCTGAGTTGAGATTGGGCTTCCTTTACTCTGCAGCTGGTGAGCTATAACCAGCATGGCCATGAAGTAGTGCTCTGAAACAGTCTTCACCTGAAGAGGCTTCTGACCTACTGTGATTTCAGTTCTTGTGCATAGTCTGATTTGGGAATGAGTTTGAGTGTCCTACATTGCTTGAATCTGATGGCTACACAACATAGAAATTTCAGTAACATAAATATATATTGTATATATAATTTTCTTTTTCTTTTCTTTTCTTTTTTTTCCCAGGCTGGAGTGCAATGACATGATCTCAGTTCACTGTAACCTCCACCTCCTGGGTTCAAGTGATTCTTCTGCCTCCAAGTGATTCTCCTGCCTCAGCCTCCCGAGTAACTGGGGTTATAGGCACCTGACACTACGTCTGGCTAATTTTTGTATTTTTAATAGAGACGTGGTTTCACCATGTTGGCCAGGCTGGTCTCTTAACTCCTGACCTCAAGTAATCCGTGCCTTGGCATTCCAAAGTTCTGGGATCACAGACATGAGCCATTGCGCCCATCCTCATTTTCTGTATGGTGATCATAATTGCTGCTATCACTGGAAGCTTATATTTTTTGGGTGGTAGTGGGGGGAATCCCCACTGTGTTGATATTTGCCCATAAGCCAAACTAGTTGTAACAATCAAGAACAAAGTCCTTTATTATGGTTTAGCTGTCTCTTATTCTCAGCTCCATTTTGCGACTGTGATTCCAAATTTTAATCCTATTTGACTGTGTGGAGTAAACCAGTGGTAGAGATGGAATTGATGGAGCTCAGAAATATGTAACGGAAAAGAGAATCGGCCATTTTCTCCTATTCTCTCTCTTTAAGTCCTTGTCCCTTTTCTTCCTTAGCCTGTGAAATATACTTACAGCTGGTCTGTTTGGTTTTTCCAAGACTATGCATTATCAGTGATAATATAAATAATGATCAACAGTCACTGAATACATATGTGCAGGCATTGCTATTATCTTTTTAATGATCTTATGATGTCAGTAAAATTATTAGCCATGTTTTACAGATGAAGAAACTGAAGTTTAGAGAGGTTTGATAACTTGCTCAAGATCACACAGAGCGCTAGTGGCAGAGAGGTGAGATTTGTCTAGAATGCAGAGTCTGATCAGTCCAGTTCTGAACTTCTGGGTTCTCAAAGAGGAGACTGCTCAAATGTTTTATGTGAAATGATGTGCAGGTCACATGTAACTAACTCAACTTCACATTAATAAACAAGTCACAGTGTTGTCTTAGAATGTCAAAGCTTATCCATGCCTGGGTTTAAATATCAGTTATAAAGTCTTCAACATCGAGAGGATGATGAATGTAGTAGTCTCTTGGAGCATCAATGGAAACTATATTTGCATTATTCATAGTGAATACTAAGATGTGAAATGACAGTATTCCTTTAATTACAGTAATGCCTCTGAAACATCATATTCTAAAAGAAAACATTTTAAAATTACTGGTGAAATGTAAACTCCAGATAATCTTCCTCCTCTTAGATTTTATTTGATGGCAACTACTTGACACTTTGCATGGTGAGTCAGAGTGGAGCCATTAAAATATGATTTAATTGCAGACAAGTCTTCTAAACAGGCCTTAATATTGTCTCTCCTCCAATAGCCATGCTATTAAGGCTCTGACTGTGGAAGCAGATAGTACAGGAGAAAATATTAAATATCAGTTTCAAGTTGAACATATAAAACAGGTGAAAAAAAACCCATTAACTTTTGGGGATGGTCTTGGATGTTTTCCACTTGGCCTACACACTATATTCCTACAGAATTAAAGATAAAATTATGGCAGAATGTCACTCTTTTAGGATTTTTTCCAGCTGTTCCCACAGTGGGCACCAAGGACAGGGCAGCTATCAGACTCTGGCTGCAGTAATTAAATATTCAGTGACCTTCAGTGCTCATGTTAATAGAATGTTTTCCTTGTGTGTTAAGATGCCTTGTTTTATCAGTTAGATTATCAGTCTCTCCTTTTTCCTTCATTTTTCATGTAGACCTGAATCTACCTCTCTTCACCTACAGGTCATAACATATAAACCGTATACTCCTGATGCACCAACACATCCAGTTATTAGGTTGCTCTGGCTGAACTGATTCTCCTCTTGCTAACTCTGAAGATTTGTGACACTGATGCTCTTACTCTACTGAGAAGCAGGAGGCAATCTTGATGATTCCCACCAGGCTGCTGTGAGGATAGGAATGCCTCAATAACATAAAGTGATTTCTGCCTCTTCTTGTTTCAGGTTCAATGGATCCACGTGACTTCCTGAGGGAGGCACAGATAATGAAGAACCTAAGACATCCAAAGCTTATCCAGCTTTATGCTGTTTGCACTTTAGAAGATCCAATTTATATTATTACAGAGTTGATGAGACATGGAAGTCTGCAAGAATATCTCCAAAGTAAGCAAAGACTTAATATAAGAAAAAAAAAAAAAAAGAGGAATTTAGTTTAGCTAGTCCTATAAATGTCAATTTAGCAAGCCTTCTGTAACCCAAAGGATATTTACTATGTGTATGTCTGTGAGAATGAATGTCTTAACATTGAATGGCTCAGCTACTGTTTAATAGGTTATATATTGTATACTCAAAAGGTGGAAAATACTTATGCAGTGGAAGAGAAAATTTTTCACAACAGATATATTAGAGTAATTGAATGTAACGTGGGAAATTAAAGAATGGATGTTTTGCATGATGCTTTATTTCCTACACTAATTGAACATTATCAGTTATGGACCAATATTTTCTATGGCACAGAATTCGGGGACATGGAATACATTTGGGGCAAAAGGGAGGGAAGTATCCTATGTTTATTTTCTTTGCCAGTAGTTGACAACATTGTACTTGTTGCTGTTTAAAATACATCCACTGCTAGGCAACATAAGAATTGTCACACAAAAAAGCAGCAATATACTATTGCTTTATTTCTCTATTTGTTTCCTGTAGTCAGAGAAGACTGAAGGGCATTGTGAAATTTTGATGTTTATTACAAATGGATAATTTAGTAAACAACAATACAGTATAATGAGCATTAAAATGAAATGTTCAAAGAAGGTGAGATCAAGTACTGACAGAATAATTCAAGCTTGAAAAGGAGACTTCTATAATTTCTTGAAATGTCAGGGTGGGAATGATAGAATGTATAGAGGTAAAGGGAGGTGAGAATGATGAAACAAAGATTTTAGAAACATAAGAATATCCTCTGATTTCAGGATGCCTTGTGAAGCTGGTAACATTAAACTATAAAACAAGATAAGAACAACAAATAACATAATAAGGCCTGTTGAATGCCATTAAAAACAGAAATATGCTCAGCTTCATTGCAGAAAAATATTGAATTTAACAGCATCAGAATATGTTACCCACCATAGAAAGATTAAACTCAGCTATTAAATAACCACTTTTGCCTTATTCCCAGGAGGACAAAGTGCAAACGTCGTCTTGGGTCATATCTAGCAAAAAATGCTTTATAAAGGTCCCTAATAGTATTCACATAATTACATCTAATGGCCTATTCCCCATCCTCAGATCTACCGACAGCATTTAATTCAATAGACGCTTTCTCCTCTTGGAAACATTTCCTTCATTTGGCTTTCAGGACACTTCACTCAATGGCATTTCCTCCTTCCTTTCTTGGTGATTCTTTTCAACCTATGTGATTTCCTTCATTCCCAGACCTCTCAGTATCTTGGAGTTCACCAAGACTGTTCACAACCTCACTAGTTCCTTTATTAATTTCATCTAACCTCATTGTTTAATTTTTTTGTGTCCTGACAATTCTCCAAATTTTATTCCCCCTTTACTTGAGAATCATACCCAACTGCCTTCTTAACTTCTCCACTTGAATATTGTATCAGTCTGCATAATGTAAATATGCTGCAATAACTAACAGTCTCCAAATCCCCAAGGGCTTAACACACATGTTTATTTCTTATCCGTGCTACGTTGCAAAATATGTTGGCTGGTGGCTCAGTTCTTTTGATCACCCTGGCAGAGAAAGGGGATGAGACTAATCTCACCCTGATTCTTAAAGCTTCTGACCAGTAGTGACAAAGATAATTCTGTTCCCTTTCCATTTGGACAAATCAAGTCAAAGAGGGTAGGGAAGTACAATTCTGTAAAGTGCTTGAAAGGATGAAAAAATCATTGTTTGTGAACAGCCCTAATTTCTACTATAGTAGAAATGTCTATTAGACATCTCAAGATGACATGCCCCAAACTGATCTCCCTGTATTCTCCCCAGTAATCTGCTACTTTTGCAGTCTTTCCTTCTTTGACCATATCAACACTCAGGCCTAATACCTTGGCATCGTCTCTGCTTTTCATGTTCCATCTCTAACCTGCTAGCAAAATCCCATTGGCTGGCCTTCAAAATATATAGAGGATTTTACCTCTCCTCAATGCTCCTACCCTGATCCAGGCTGCCATTTCCTTTCTCCTGAATTCTGCAGTAGCTCCCGGCTAGTCTTCATCTTCTGGTTCTTGTCGCCTTCAGTTTTGTCTCAACACAACAGCTAGAGAGATACAGTTAAAACGTAAATCAAAGCATGTGTAACTCATGAAGTCCTGCATGGCCTGGCTCTCTATTCCCTCTCTGATCTCATCTTCTACAACCTTCCCCTTGCTCAGTGTGTGTCAGCCATACTAGCCCTCTTTGCTATTTTTTCCTACCCTCTAAGCATGCTTTTGCCTCACTCATTATTTCCTGTGCCTGAATTTTTTTGTTGTTTTGACATTTATCCACATGCTCACTTCTAATTTCCTCAAAACCTCTACTTAGATGTTTCCATCTTGGTGAGTGCTTCACTGGTCACCCTCTGAATTTTAAAATTTAATCTCTTTCTACTGACTCTTAAAGTATTCCTTTTCCCTTGTTTTTTATTTTATCCTCTTGGCTTCTTACAGTGTGTATCTTATTTATTTGGCTTGTTTTTAGTATCCTCTGAATATAACTCCACACAGGCATATAGTGTTTTCTTTGTTTCAGAGTTAGAACAGTGTCTGGCACATAAGAGAGCATGTACTAATTAGGTATTGAATAAATAGATTAAGTTGGGACCATCTTGAACCTAACAAGATTGGGACTTGGAGTCAAGCTTGTTTTGAGACTCTTGTATCAGCTTGAAAAGATCCACTTGGTACGTGGCCAACTCCTCTGGCATTGAGGATTTTTGTGGCTTGGTAATGTGGTTTACTCGGGGCTAAGTATGAACCCTATCAGCTTCAGAGTTAGGCCATTAGGGTCAAGTTTACCAATGCCTTCATTTGTGAGGATGATGCTTAGCAGCCAGGAGGAGTAATGAACATGTGCTCACTGCAGACAGCTCTTTCCCCAATCAAGAGGGTTCACATTCAATAAAGCGATCTTAAAAGTGGATGTGCCACTCTTAAGCAGCCCATCATAATGAATATTATTAAGCTGAAAGATTCTTGAGTAATGGAATATAGTTGAAAATATTTTCTTGCTGCAAATGTAAATTGTCATAGATTTGTGAACTTTTACATCAGTTTTGACCTCTGTTGGTTGTATTAAAAGTATGTGTTGAGGTTTACTTAGGCAGTACTGAGGTTACTGCACCCTTCAAAGTAGGAAATGTGTGTCACTCAGTTTCCTCCAGTATTATGCCTGTCAGTGCAAACCTTTTTCTATCCACTGTAATAGAATTAGGTGTCATATGTGATAGCTGAAATAACATACGCATTTTTTCTATATAACCATTTTTGTAGTTTCCAAGCTTGGCTGGATAATTTTTGTAATACATTTCTGCAAAATGAGAGAGATCTGTAAAAAACCTTTAGTATTGAGGGTAATTAATGACAGGTACATCTTGTTACAATTTAAAGAGGATAAATAGCTCTATTTTTAAAAAGTTTAGTTTGACTTGTTTTTTCCCCAGTAAATACTTAGAACATCTATTATATGTCAGACAACTTGTTACCTATTCCTTTGAGTAATAGGAATCCTCATGAAATGGGTGAGAATAATTGCAATCCTTACTTCATATAGTTGTTCAGAGTATTAAATTAGGTGATTGACTGGAAATGAACTATACAGGATAGTGATAGGAGAGGATCATATATATACTTTTTTCCTTTAAAAACACTGTAGTACTTTGTGACAGGCAATTTATAAGCCTTTTATAAATATTAACTTAATTCATTTTTCTTTGTTTTCACTTACTTTTATTTTTTAAAATTATACTTAAAATTCTGGGATACATGTGCAGCATGTGCAGGTTTTTTACATAGGTATACATGTGCCATGGTGGTTTGCTGCTCCCATCAACCTGTCATCTGTGTTAGGTATTTCTCCTAATGCTATCACTCCCCTTGCTCACCACCCCCCAACAGGCCCCAGTGTGTGATGTTCCCCTCCCTGTACCCATGTGTTCTTACTCTTCAATTCTCACTTATGAGTGAGAGCATGCGGTGTTCGTTTTTCTGTTCTTGTGTTAGTTTGCTGAGAGTGATGGTTTCCAGCTTCATCCATGTTCCTACAAAGGACATGAACTCATTCTTTTTTATGGCTGCATAGTATTCCATGGTGTATATGTGCCACATTTTCTTTATGCAGTCTAACATTGATGGGCATTTGGGTTGGTTCCAAGTCTTTGCTATCGTGAATAGTGCCGCAATAAACATGCATGTGCATGTGTCTTTATAGTAGAATGATTTATAATCCTTTGGGTGTATACCCAGCAGTGGGATTGCTGGGTCAAATGGTATTTCTAGTTCTAGATCCTTGAGGAATTGCTAGACTGTCCTCCACAATGGTTGAACTAATTTACACTCCCACCAACAATGTAAAAGCATTCCTATTTTTCCACATCCTGTCCAGCATCTGTTATTTCCTGACTTTTTAATGATCCCATTCTAAGTGACGTGACATGCTATCTCATTGTGGTTTTGATTTGGATTTCTCTAATGATCAGTGATGATGAGCTCTTTTTCATATACTTGTTGGCTGCATAAATGTCTTCTTTTGAAAAATGTCTGTTCATATCCTTTGCCCACTTTTTGATGAGGTTGTTTTTTTTTCTTGTAAATTTGTTTAAGTTCCTTGTAGATTCTTGGTATTAGACCTTTGTCGGGTGAATAGATTGCAAAAATTTTCTCCCATTCTGTAGGTTCCCTGTTCACTCTGATGATAGTTTCTTTTGCTGTGCAGAAGCTCTTCAGTTTAATTAGATCCCATTTGTCAATTTGGGCTTTTGTTGCCATTGCTTTTGGTGTTTTAGTCATGAAGTCTTTGCCCATGCCTATGTCCTGAATGGTATTGCCTAGGTTTTCTTCAGAGTTTTTATGGCTTTAGGTCTTATGTTTAAATCTTTAATCCACCATGAGTTAATTTTTGTGTAAGACGTAAGGAAGGGGTCCCATTTCAGTTTTCTGCATATGACTAG